CCCAATATCATAAAAATCATTTTATAGCATAAATATCGAACACATCTTACATCAAAAGGTTATATTCAAATTATAAAACCAATTAACTTCGAAAGAAATTTTGAGAATTGAAATTAACGAAACACGGAGAATGAACTCTTCATGCAGTGTGATCGTGAATTATGCCAAAAATATTTTAAAGGCAAAACAGGATTCTTCTACATATATACTTGAGCAATTTAAAATATTTGTAATTGAAAAGAATTGTTTAATAACAGTATTTGGAATAGAATATCGCAGGCTTCGGGGTGACGTAAAAAATTGTAGGGACAATAATACCAGGGAAAAATTGAAATTTCCATGACGAAAGAGATAAAACATATGACCTCATAAATGATGGCACGATCCACAATGCTATGCCAGCCAATGCAGACCTCTTGAAATATGCGCAACAAGCTGGCGCATAACCTGAACTCAGGTTGTGTACCAGGTTAGGGTTCGGGTTGTGCGACATCTTGGTGCGCATACTTCAGGAGTACCCAAACTTGATGAGAGAAACGTAATAATATATCAAACATTAAAAGATTGTATTAAATTATTAATCAGAAAAATATAAAAAAAATGTTCAAGACTTGATGAGAAAAATGTAATAATATATAAAACATTAAAATTAATCATAAAATAAAGACACGATGTAAAATCGGACAATACCTTTTAAATGAATTTTAAAATGTGAAACACTGATCAGATTAGTTCCTTAAATTTGACAATGTTCGTTTCCAAATCTGACACGCATTTCGCCATCCTTAACATGACACCCGTCAACCCACTGCCCTATTTCGCCCTCCTTAATCTGACACGCATCGACCATATTTCATCATCTCTAACCTGACACGAATCGACCCTATTTCGCCACCCCCAATTTGACACGCTTCGTCCGCATTTCGCCATCCCTAACCTGCCACGCTTCGACCGTATTTCGGCATCCCTAATCTGCCACCACGCTTCGACCGCATTTTGCCATCCCTAATCTGCCACGTTTCGACCGTATTTCGCCATCCCTAATCTGCCACCACGCTTCGACCGCATTTTGCCATCCCTAATCTGCCACCACGCTTCGACCGCATTTTGCCATCCCTAATCTGCCACGCTTCGACCGCATTTCGCCATCCCTAATCTGCCACGCTTCGACCCCATTTCGCCATCCCATTTTGACACTCGTCGACTGTGTTTTCCAAGCCCGAATTTGACAGGTACTAATCCATTTCATCAGCCCCAAATCTAAACACTTTGGCCATATTTCTTTGTAATTTTGAGGCAATTGTTTATTGTTATCTGTATACTAAACAGCGCATTATGACAGTCGATTTGGCAAAACCTGACAGCCATCGACCGCATTTTGCCATCCCTAATCTGCCACCACGCTTCGACCGCATTTTGCCATCCCTAATCTGCCACCATTCGACCGTATTTCGCCATCCCTAATCTGCCACGCTTCGACCGCATTTTGCCATCCCCAATTTGTCTTTTCGTCCCTATTTCGCCATCCCTAATCTGCCACCTTTCGACCGTATTTCGCCATCCCTATTTTGCCATCCCCAATATGACTTTTATGCTACCAACCCTCCTCGAACAACGAGCTCCGGAACTAGACTAACAGCAATCACAGAATCATGCAAACAAGCTTACGACGTAAGTTACGTTCGAAATTGTCACTTGGTTTTTATAGCCACGCGACTAAAATCAAGAACTATTACCACTAAGTGTCGCTGAACTCAAAAGAAATGAAAACTAATTTTTTGCCAATCTTTTCTGCCAATGAATATTTACCTCACTTTTGATACCAAAAAAACTTCCTTGCCTAAAAATAGTTCACATGTTTATAATCAGCCTTTTCATACACAATATGTAACTAACTTCCATGTAGATCTTCAACTAATATTTGAATTATAAAAACACCGATCTCGGAATTGTAATCTTTGCTTTACACGAATTGTGATAATAAATCAATATTATTTTAGTCGCTTTGGCATGAAATAAGATAATAACAAATGGACAATCAAAATGCAAAATGCAGCTTTTATGCTGAGGTGTATAAGATCGCGAAAAATCCCAACTCTGAATTTTTACTCATTTTCTTATCCTGATCGTCGGGTTAATTTTAACGGGATCCTGAAGTTTTGTTTTTTATGAAACATTTTATCGACTACAATCTTGAATTAGTTGAGAGTGTAAAAAACTATTTGTGAATACAATTCACATATGGACACGAGTATACATAAGGGTAGTTTTGTCAAATCCTTGTTGTTGTTGATAATTTTTTTTTTTCGGAAGTTATTTGCCGAGAGATTTTTAAATTTTAGTACTTAAAGTAGGCTTACCATACGTCTCACTTCAAGCGGGACAGCCCCACTTTTTAGCGTCTTGTCCCGCCAAGTCAGCTAAAAGTCCCGCTTTGGCGTTCAGCCATCTAGTATAAAACACGAACATGTTCTCGTTACTATTGTTGCTGTGTAGAGAGATAGATATTTATTATTTCGTCATCCAAAATAAAATAGCATCGTAATAATAGAAATAATAACAATAAAATAATATGATATAGACAGGAGGGAGTGATACGCAACGATAGCCTACTTACTGAAGATGAATGCGTTATTTTGTTTGTTTCGTTGTTTCCCGCTAACATTGTCAGCGAACGTATCACATGTAAAAATTCCAATTGTTCCTGTTCGGACGTTCACGTAAATGTAACATTGAACCGTAAATTAATACTACTACGATTGAACAACGTCTTTTTGAAGGTGTTATCTACAGAAAAGCATGCTTGGGCAAATAAGTAAATTCTCAATGCTCGAAAACGGCAAACTATTTCATTATTCTTTATTCCTTCTGCTGTACATGAAAAATTCTAAATTCGGATCATTTGTATCGTTAGCGTCTATTCCTTTCTTTTTTCAAATTGAACCCGATATTTAGACAGAGAATATGCGCATGAATTCTCGATGACAATATGGTAAATGAAGACAGCTGGGATGGCTTCAAATGTAGGCCTATGTAGTAAAATCGAAAACTGTGAAGTTACGGGAGACGACTCGCTTTTTAGTCAAAAAAATATGGTAACCCTAACTTGAAGCCACTGCAAAATTGTTACTATGATTTATTCCACTCCGCTTTTAATGTAAGTTGCGTGAAAATCTATTTTCTCTTCTACTTGACCAATTGCTTTGATATTTTCAGTGATTTACGATTGTTGTTGTTGCTAGAAGTAATCATTGGATATTTCAATTCACTCCGACATAAGACGCGTGAACTTCCATCGTCAAAGAACTTGGTAAAGCTAGGATGGTTTGGGTACTATGTTCCTATATTTTGATAGGGCCAAATATTTCCTACTCATAGCTTGTCACTTCCTCATTTGTATTAGATAGAATATAAATGTTTATAATAACACCCAAAACTATAAAATTCGGGCAAATATTACTCAAACTCCAAATAAATATTTCTCATTCAAAAACGGGTAAAACCCTTGGTCGAGGTTTCTTTTTCCCCCAAAGATACAGAATTCTGGAATTTATAACCGCTTTATAATAATAAGTATTTTCACTGTGAGCTTATTTCAATTGGTGCAAATATGGTGGGAGCTGACTCTGATGATCGCATCGCTCTCTCCAGTCCATCCCGAAGGAGCGTTATTCCTATTGCTTTATATTTATTATTATTATCATTGTATTTATGTTTTTTCTGGTTGACAAATAATAAATCTCTCTCTCTCTCTCTCTACTAGTACAAGTAGGCTATGCCACGGCAAATTTATTATATACTCATTTATAATACTGTATATAATTGGCCACGGAGAGTTGACCGACACCTCTCTTAGTAAGGTTTGATGCTCCGCAATTACACCTTTGTCTAGGGCAGGGGTCACCAACCTTTTCGAGGCCGAGGGCTACTTTCTGGGTACAGATTAAGCCGCGGGCTACCAATTCAATGTATATTTCTAAAAAGTCGCGGCTGTGTGGCCATCATTAGTGTGCTAAGCGTTAGGTTTGCAGGTTAGAATCCCATGCGAGGATAGTTATGTGCGAGAGGATTGCTGAACCCCTTGCCGCCGTTGGGATGGCTTCCTTCGCCATCAAGTCCATGCTTACGAAAATAAATAACTAACTAATCCCATACCCGACATGAAATGGTAACCGGACGAGAGGCCTTGGCTCGCCATATGGTTAAGCCGTCTTATCGGCTATCTTCTCCCCCGGGATAAATATGTAAATCCCATCCTATCCGGAGTTTATGTTAAAAATGTTGATTCACAAAGATAGGTTGAACGAAACAATGGTCTCGTAAAATAGAATTGCTGTATGATTTGAATTGCGAGCTTTTTCTGCCCGTACTGCGCTGACCAGTGGATAGTTAGCGCGGTAGATTGCGTGACAAGCCGTGAATATATTTTCGCTTTGCCGTCGCTACAATCGCCCCACAAATGAGACACGCGCAGGCTGTTTTCATGGTGGTAAAAATATATCCACCCCCATTCATCGAGAAAATGGTGGGTTTTTCTGCCATTTTTCTTTGGAATCAAGAATTATATTATTGCTGCTCCAAAAACCAACGGACAAGAAAAAGCGCGGGTTCGTGGTAAATGATATCAGTGTGATGTCATAATTGCAAGAGTGTTAATTGACCCGTCACACTACTGAGATCAAATAAAAATCAGGTTGATGGCTACAATATTTAATATAGTGCCATTCCTGATTCCCATATAAGTGTGATTTACACAAGAATAGCAGGACAAAATTTAATTGATGTAGCTTACTCTTAAGCGCCGTTATTAAGCTTAGTTTGAAACAGACCTGCGGGCGACTCATATGGTCTTCACGGGCGACTTGGTGCCCGCGGGCAACGCGTTGGTGACCCCTGGTCTAGGGTATGATTTTTGGAAAAATTCTGGGCAAGCTATTTTGTTTGCATATTTTCGATTTTTCAATAACGAAGTTTCTCGGATTTTTTATGAGGTCAAGGGTCAGACAAACATACATCACATGGTACAATTTACAGTGCTGTTACATTGATGAAAACTCGCATGGGAAGTCTGGGAGTTGTTGTTTGTGACTTGTTACATCAATGTTCTCTACTTTTCTCTACATAAACGCGTTGTAGTCTGTCAGTGTTGAGTCGTGATATTATCATTTGTAATTCATATAATAGTTCTTCAGTTAAACAACGAAAATGGCTGAATTCGTAATGCGTCGCTCGGAGGATATGCTTCCGGAGTTTGAGCAGATGCAGAGAGTTGGATTATTTAATGAAAATGAGGTAAGATATTGCATAACCTTAAATATACTCATATGGGTATAACATATTTCTGGGCATTATAAACACTCATGCAATAATATATTTTTAGTTTTTCGAGGTGTTTTTGATACTCCGAATGAGGCCCTAAACAAGTAAGTGGTACCGGTACTGTAGCGTAGCTAATTTCTTTCAATCTGGGTCTGTGGGTAATAGCTTCAAACTCTGATTCCAACTCACACTAATGAGCAGGGTTTTGGACATCTTCAGTATTCTTTCATTTTTCTGAGCTGGTATATCTCTTTTTGTTCAGCTGAAGGCAATTATAAAGAAGACCATGTCACACGAATATAAGCTTGTACGAAGGGTCAAAGTGAAAAAAGATTTTCTTGCGTACATTCAATATAAAATCAATGTAATTTCATTGATCAAAAAAAGAAGGAAGCGGCTAAATTATTTTTTTAAAAAAGACGAAATTGAATATGCTATGGTTGGAAAAATTCACAGGTAATCCAGGTTTTTCTTCTTTAATTCGATAAAACCAATGAAATAATATCTTGATTTTTAATAGATCACATTTTACAATTCTGAAGCATAGTCATTCTGACTTCTAAGCAGGCTATACCAGAAATCATTGTAAGCCTGCTTAGAACAATTTGACCCAAAACGACAAATTGCATCATGTATAAATTCCTGTGTTGTGCTCACATTATTCACTGGCGTTTGATTAGGTTGAATTGTTCCAAAGTACACCAGTTAAATTTTTAAAACTACTTCATCTTCTTCATCACAGTCTTTTCAAGCAATGCTCATTTCGATGGCCTGATGATCTGAAACTATGGCTTTCACATATTGAATTTTGTAAGCAGTGGAACAAGAAATTACAACTGAGCAAAATATGGACTTCAATGTTGCAGGTATGTAATTAACAATTTAAAAGCTTTCACTAATTACTGTTGCAAAATACCTGTATCGGTATTCGGTTTCTAAGATTATAATTATTATGTTTAATATGCTAACCATATATCTTGATGACAAACCCAATTTATTCAGCTTCATGGCAACAACAATATTCATTTGTGGGTGATGGCAGCCAAATGGGAATTAGAGGACAACCATTCAGTTGACAATGCCAGGCAAATATTTTTACGTGGAATAAGACATCATCCGGAAAACTCTAAATTATGGCAAGAATATTTTAGAATGGAACTCATTCATGTTCTTACAACGAGGCAACGACTGTCTTTATTGAAAGAAGGTGAACAAGCGGAGTAAGTGTAATTGATCTATGTTTTCTTTTAATCGTTCTATTAAAATTATTACGGTAATATACCAAGAAATATTATTATTATTGTTTATTATTATTAAAAAATAAATTCAGAATTTGTTAAATTGTAGCAGATTGAAATATTTAGACCTTTGACTGTTTCAAAGCTTTTTAATTAAGTCTGTGAGATATGTATGTTAAAATGGTTCGTTACTCAAAATATCGCCTTGCACACAATTTTGGATTTTGAATAAATGTAAATGGCTTCATTTTTCAAAAAAAAGAGTACAAACTGCAGTTCATTACATCTGAGTTATCAAATTTTCTTCAAATAATGATAATCTTGACGTATACCTAATCTGAAAGCACCCAACATCAAATTTTCTAATGTTAGCATTGTACACTTATTAAAGTATTCGATTCTAATGTCTTCTAGGACTGGTGTGGTAAAAAATATTTTAATTCACTACTGACCAACTAAGCCATTCTTGATCATTACTATGTTTGATAATAATGCGATATTATTTAGTGATGAAGAACTGAAAGAAAATTTTCTGAAAGGAGAAGCAGCTTGTATCGTATATAAAAATGCAATTGTTGCTATTCCAAATGACAGCAAATGTAAATGTGGATTTCTTGAAATTGCTCTGCATTTTGCATTTTTCGCTGGTGATATCATCAATGATATCATCGATGACCTTATGGATAATCACAACACCGATCCATATGCCAGAAGCATGCTTGCAAAATTGCACCTACATCCTTCTGTACTCAATCCAGCGACAGGTAATAAATGTTTTATTTCACGCTATCAATCCTGATACAGTTTGCTGCTTTCGAACACATGAATTCCTAAAACATTTCATTTGGATGCTTCCTCTGTTTTATTTTTATTCGGTGTTCAACCTGTCTGGAAATCAATTCCTTAGCATGCAGATGCAGCCAATTTTTCTGTTTTGGCATATACTGTATTACTAACCAATTATTTATTCAATGCCAGACTATGAGTATTTCTGGAATCGGACCAATCTATAACCTCCCATATCAACAGGTTTGGCCAAATGACGATTACTCGGCCATTGACCTCTCTTCTTGTAGTATTCTATATTTTGACATTTTAATTCTTCTTCTGCTGGATGGTACAGTTACAAAATTCCTGGTTAGATAAGTATGCTTGTATATATGTTGGCATTTTAGTGCATTTGTATGATTATTGGACGAAAAGTGCTTTTTTTGCTGACGCTTTGTTCCCCCATGCTGGTCCGTCAATCTTTTCAAAGGACCCAGTGCTAAGCTAAAGCCTGGTACTGAGGCGCCTTCATGCCCACTGTCCATAAATTTTAAATTTCATGCTAAAGCTTTTCATGATGTTTTAGATTCATCAGACCAGGTCACACTGAAAGCAGATTCATGGGCAGCAGAGAAAAAGTGTTGGGAAGATTTTGATTCTGCACTTATTGAAGTTAATAATTCTGAAATGTGGAAAGAATACATAACGTTTCTTTATGAAAGAATAAACGATTCAACAAATAATGATAAAGGAAAATTTGAAGTAACAAACCATACACTGAGATCGTCATCTAAGCAAAGATCTGTATCTGATGAGAGGATCCAGCATTTCATATCTGTGTCAGAGAGAGGACATAAGTCAAAAATGCTTGATGATGATTGCTACTTGTTATATGCAAATCAGTTAGCGTTCTTGGGAAGAGAACTGGAAGCTATCAAAATACTTCATGCTTGTGTAGAGGAACCTGATTGTGCTTTTGCTATTAAATTAAGGCTATTGGAGATGCTCGTAGCCAATGAGAAAATATCATTCGAACAAAACATTGACATTAGGCAGTTTTTCGGAAAATTGTCAAAGTTGATTTCTTCTATGTCACAAGAAGAACAGGACGTCTTTTGGACGTTGTGGTTCGATTATGCAAAGAAGAAAAATGATGAAGAATTTGTTTTGAAATCTGTTGAAATATCTGAAACATTAAAATCATCCCAATCGAATAGAATAAAATCATTGTATATTGAATGGTCGGTTTCTCGACATGGTGTGGAAAATATCATGGAAATTTACGAAAAGAAACTTTGTGCTCTATGCTCTCCATCGTTGGATTTAATCAAAACTGTTATAAAGGTATTGGAGTCTTCAGAAAACCAGTATGTAGAATCAATTACGGCCTGTTATGAGGATGCCGTGAAATATTTTGGGCTGGAATATCCAACTGTGTGGCTTGATTATATTTCTCATATCCTTAAAATCGATCCTGTAAAAGTTGGTAAAATACATTGGAGAGCAATGAAAACATTAAAGCCTGATTTAGTCGAAGAATTTGTATCAGGTTATACACTCATCCACGCTAAAACATAAATTGAGTAAAATATCTCACTCATTTGCTTGTTTAGTAAAAATGAAAGGTGAAATGCTACCCTGATTCATGCTAAAAACGAATTCATAAAATTCTTTTTTCTTAAAGCATGTCACAAATTAATCTCTTCTTGTGAACGAAATAACTATGACATTAATGCCACTGAAATTTTTACTGTACCTGAGCATTTCGATGATATTAAAATGATTTACTTAATATACAATGAATAGTATGGAATATATTGTTTCATTTCAGTTAGTGGTTGTCCCAACTTCAAAGAGCAGTGGATTGATCATAAGCTCCCAGTTTAAGAAAGTGTTCTACAAATCATTTGTTTGAAAGTCTTCACAGCGTTGAAATATAGGTAGAACAATACTAAATTTTGGCTTCAATATGGCTTTATTTTCAATTTTGATTCTTTTTTTCATCACTATTCAAGTCAACGAATTTCTCCACAGTTACGAAATCTTACTTTGTATTTGGGTGTAGTACCACTGATATTTTTTTACTAATTTAGTGTCGTTGTAATATGCATATATAAATCATTTAAAATGTAAAAAGCCAGATTGAAAGTTGCATATATCACGAACAAATGTCCCTTTAAGGATTGAATAACAATTACAAATAGAGTTGTTACAATTACAAATGGGTGTGGCTCATCGTTCCAAGCGTTAGGAATACGCTCGCCACCCCACCTTTGATGGCTCATCGTGCTAAGCGTTAGGAATACGCTCGCCACCGCACCTTTGATTACTCTGCGTGGGTTCGAATCCCATGCGGGGATGGTTATGTGCGAGTGGATTGCCTCACTCCTCGCCGCCGTGGGGTGGTTGCGTAACCGCAGATAGGTTACGACTTCCTCCACCACCAAGTACATGCTCCCGAAAACAAATAACTAACTAATCCCAGACCCGACATGGAATGGTAAACGGACGAGAGGCCGTGGTTTGCCATATGTCCCAACCACCTCAATGGTACCAACCAACTGTAATCAATAATATGCAAAATAACAATAAGGACATTCCAGGGACGAATCTTAGGACTGAAAATTGGTCAATTCTGAGACGGTGGCTGAGTAGAGTAGTGGGTATTTAGTTAGTCATTGTGTATCAAACATATATAAACTGTATGAGCAACTATGAAATAATAAAAATGTAGATGATAAGCACAAATCACAGTATAATGAACGCGAGAATCTTTATTCTCGACTACTCCAAAAATTAAATCGGATTGTTTCAAATTTACTTCTCACAAAGGAAAGGTTAAGGCTACTCCTGGAAGGCAGTTAATGAATAATAAATAATAATGGTGAAAATAGGATCAATTTCTGTTCTTCCATTGGACTTGAATGAGGTAGTACAAAAATTACAAATGAATTTAATCATCACTTTTCCCCAAGTGGCAAAAAGCTTGCTTGTCAATATGCCACAACCAACTAGTTGTAACAAATGCCATCTCTCATATCTTGGGAGGCAAGAATTTCCATCTATGTTTTGAGGGTCACTCCACATGAAAAAGTGTCATCAAGTATCAGATCTTGGCTATATACCCATTAGTCTTCTATCACCGTTTTCCAAAATTTTTGCAAAAATATTTACAGCATGTATTTCGAATTATTTTGAAAGTCATAATATTTTATTCTTATGCCAATTTGATATTTGCAAGCTGCACTCCATTTCTTTGACTGCTGATGTTTTGGTACATAAAATACCCAAAGAGTTTGAGGGAAAGCAACATAGCTTACTATTCAACCTAGTCGATATCAAGAATCTCTCTCCCAGGTTTTAAATGATTGATAAATCTATGTTTAGCAGTTCTTTTGAATATAAACGTGTTATCTATAAGTAAATGGATATCGGTTTTCATATTTTGTATATTTGAAAATCCTGTAATTCTCTACTTTGTAATTTTGTTTTTGATAAATCAAAATATAAGACATCCCCCGAAAATAATACTTCTTTTTCCAACCACATTGAAACCCCTATAATATATTTATAAAAAGTGCGAGCTTTGTTGAAGGTGTTTCCTTGTCATTTTGTCTTGACGAACTAACAAAGAAATATTTTGTTCGAAAATATAAACAGTGTACGCGGTACGGGATAGCCTGCTTGTGATTATTGTAAACAATGAAATCAGTGTACTGAAACGTAGGCTAAACATTGTCGGAAAAACACTATGACATCATGATAGAAAGTTGCAACAAAAACCACCTAACAGAACAGCTACGATGACATCGATTCAACTACTGCACTGCACTTCGGTCTTTCAATTTCAATTCAATTATTAACTTTCAATGAACAATGTTCACTGAACATGAGTAATTGTTAGAGGATAGTGAGAACCGCAGGAAGAATAGTTGCCGGTTGAGAATCACCGGTCTAGCTTCTTCAGACAAAAACGATACCTGCAAATATGAAAGATCATAATAATGGTTAATTCAAGTTATTATTATAAATTTCAAAAATGCTAGGGATGGTCTGTTTCTACTTCGCTGTCTAAATGGATTGATTGAAAAAACCTCCCACATCAAACCATTTAAACAGCGAAGTAGAGGCATACCACCCCTAGCATATCTTTCATATGTGCAGGTATATCTTGTTTTGTCTGAAGAAGTTAGACTACGATCTAACGAAAGCTCAAAAATATATTTGCTATTTCTTTTAAATGATTATGCCATTCGCTTTTTTGTTTACTCCAGCTTTAGTTTGCTGAATATCCGTAATCTAGGAGATAATTACGGTATATGCGAAAAAAATGTTGGACTGTCTCAAGATGGTTACCGTTTGCACTACCATTCAAGTACATTCAGCTGTAACAATCATTAGTAAACTAACTTTAAACCCATTTTGAAGCGGTAAATGAATTGCAGGCCGATGTTTTCATTATTAAAATTCAAATAACATAAAGTACCGTTTATTTGTGCAGGGATTAAACATAAAAATAAGGAATGAAACACAGTGGACAATATAAAGTGTAAATAATATATCTTTCGATTAGGGTAAATTTGAATGAGGCATTGAAACATGGACAAAGTATGAAATATCTGAAAACTAACGCTTCAGATAAATAGGATCGAAAAAACACAAAAAGTTTTTTCAAGAAATTAAAAAAAAAATTAAATATAGTATCATGGATACCGACAACATTTTAAACTCACAGACGGATGCCGTCAATAATTTGTGATTTCATTTGTAACACAATAAATATTGCTACTAATTTTAGTATAGTATCATGTCTAGATATTGCATTTTTATCCTTATCAGCTATTCTTATTTTAATAATTCTCAGAATCGTATTTGAAATACTGAAAGTCTTTTTCATAAATGTTTCTCAGGTTTGCTAAAGTTTCCGATGAAATTTTTGAAAAGTATTCTTGAGTAACGTTAGGGTTTACTGCCGGCTTTCCAGGTGGGAACTTAATCCATTTCTCTTTAGGATCACTTTGTTGAATATGGTCTAAAATCCGTTCTGAATCGTATTCTAAATCGTCGAATCGAACCACATAATCATAATTTATAGCACAAGGATTGCACAGCAAATGTTGAGGACGCCAGTGAATGTCTAGATTTCTCGGAATATCAGCCTTTGCAATGACACCGTGTCTAAAAATGGAACATTATATTGGGCATTGAAAACCAAAAACACATTTCACACTTGAAATTTTGTTATCGAGCAACTAATATTGAGTTTTAATTTTGATGCAGCAATACTTCCAGAAAGCTTAGTTTGTTCAAGCTAAACAGATTTTATTTTCATGTAGAAATCATGTAGGCCTAAATTATGTTACTGAATCCGCTATAAGATTATAAAAGTTGAAATTTAGAATTAATGTTGTTTGTGATTAGTTTACTCTTCCAGGTCAAATGAGCATCCTATGTCGCATCCAGATTTTAAAATTCATAGCACAAAATAATATGGCAACGGTTGATAGGCTACCTGATAAACTCGTCAAAAGTGATGTTGCCAGAAAATCCACGCATTGTAATGTCCATCACCTTTAGTTGATCAGCCTGATTTAATTTCAAAAACTCTGGATTTGAGGTAATCGTTTCAAGCGCCTCTTGTCTCGTGTGTCTAAAAATACACATATATACAAGGCTTTTTATGACAATTGAACAAAAATTATAGTATTAACGCAGATAACAAAATCATTGAAGACCCGTTAACAAGTTATAGAGACAACGATAACCTTTCATTTTGCACTACAATGGCAACAATTGTGCTCTCTAAGGGAGCATGGACGTAATATAATGTACATTTTTATTTATGTATAAAATGAATTAGAACATTACCTTGCATATTTAAGGTTGTATCCATTTAGATAACTTGCAATAAAGTGACGTGCTATTTCTCTCCCATGAGAATATACAAACGCAGTTTTTTCACCTTGGAACTTGTTTTTATACGCTGATACAAGTCTTCTGTATGGATGCCTGGTTACCATGAACTTTGTATATGTATTCAGTCTTTCAACTACGCCTCGACTGCTGAGCCTAAACAATTAAATATGAAAATTTATAGAAAATTAAAGCAAGAACTTGGTGCGTTCGAACATATTATATGTAGTGAAATTGTGATTTTTCAAATACCAACTATATATATTTATTTATAACTTGATTCATGAGAAGAAATATACGACGCTCCCCGCATTTTTTGCACATGGGGTATTGGTTACTTGGGTTGCCGACGGTCATTTAATAACCGGTACCAGTTCAGGTCACTAGGGTTAACTGGTTGCCAAATCAATTCTCCATAGCACAGTGGGTAACATGTCATAAAAGGAAAAGCCTGGAAGTTCGCTGAAAGTTGTAAAATCAGTCGTAACAACTAAGTCTCCATGATATGGGATTTGAGCTTACCATGTCCACCAACTGGAGTAAATAATAACTTATTTATTACGTAATAATTGAATAAGATTGTTGGAAACCATGTTCTAAGCAAATGTGTAAAATACTTACTTTGCCATTGATTTCATTTTTCCATAATTCATTACAAGATAACTTTTCTTAACATTGAAAGCATCTTCCAACGTACTCTTCCCCATTAGATAATACATGAGTGACTTCCAAGTTGTACAAGCAGCCTGAAATGAAAATACAAAAGCGTTACAATAACGTGTGCTAATCGCTATTCGCTATTCGCATTTTTTATCAAAAGGATAGTAATCGAAACCCTGGCAAAATTTCTTACCTTGGGTATGACACACATTATTGTTTTATGCGTGTCGTCGTACAACATTCGTTTTAGGTCGATAAGATCAGTGAACTTGCCATTCGGGTACTTCTTGCAAGCTTCTTGAATATTTTGCATTCTTGGTTTATACGGCTCTTCTTTAGAAAGTGGATGCAGTGGAATTTCACCTTAAATGATCGAAATTTTTACACTTGAGGTATGAACGAGCGTTAAATATGTACGGTTTTGACACTTACAAACTGGGGCAGGCGATGTAAATTAAAGTTAAGTTTATTAAAGTAATAAAACGGAATTTAATTTGTACGTTTTATAAATTATAATCTCCTTTATTATGTCTAAAACCGACCATTTCTTCTAGTAATTTCCTGAAAGGGTTTTCTTACCTGTCGGGATAAGTTTTGTAATATTCATGTGTACAGCATCCATTCTCAATAATACTCTGTTGTAAGGACTGAATCGTCTTAAAAATGTTCCATTGTACTGTGAATAGGTTACAGAAAAATATTCAAACAAATTGACGTCAAGTTTTTGTTGTACAGTTCATATGACATGCACGGAATTGCTGTTGATTAACTTTAAGCTAATATTAGCACAATAAAATAGCAAAGCCATTTCAATTTTCATCTCAATTACAATAATATGTAAATATACCACCTACCCAAATATGTAATTTTATGCAACTTTAATCTAATTAAAATTTATTTATAAGGTATTTTTCATTGGATGACTTGCTTGGCATAAAAATATTTCGAAAATGTGGGAAAATCATGAACTTTTGTAAGCCTTTCGATGGATCACAGACGTCATCAATTATGCGGTCATTGCCTTTTCTGGATATGCGGTCTTAAAAAGCGCTCATTTTAATCTTTAATTACTAACAATTAAAATAAAAATTTAAGATTTAAATTTAACTTAAAGATAATTTTAGAAAATAGGGAAAATCGAAAGCAAATGCAAAAGGATTGAAATATCAAACTCCTTCAGCTTCACAAGTCCAAATTTAGCGTTTTAAATAAGTCTAATAAAAATGCTTGAGATACAGTATTTATATTTTTGAGACCTTAAGAAAAAAAAGTGGTGGCGACCTTGCGACAAATATATCCAATGAATAAATTATTCAAGGAATGTATATCATTAAAAATTAATGAGTTCAAATTTTAGGCCGATTTGTGCAACAATATTCGATCGCTAATGATATATATGATATTTATAGTAATATTACTGGGATTATATTCGTTTATGACATAAACAAAATATATTTTGTTTGTTTTAAGAAAAAAAATCAAACCATGAATAAAACATTTCATTATATATAAAAATATATTAATACTTACATATTTAGGACTCGTCGATTTTGCTGCCACCGTTAAAAATTCCCTTTCGCTTGGAGGACTAAATAAGTTATTATAAATTATGAATCAAGCATGAATTATAAATGTTTTGATTAGAAAATCAGATTGAATAAAATATTTAGTTGGGCACATTTAAAAATCTTCTAAAATTGATTTATCAAATAATATTATATACTTACAGGTTTTCATGTTCCAATTTTCGTATCTTAGCTTCCACTTCCTGGAAAAGAAGATGGAGATATTATGATTTATACCAATTTAAAACATAAAGCCCAGCTCGACAGGACGAGATCTCCACGATCATAAGAGGTTTTGCAGCAATTCCCTAAGTATACAATACTTGTATTGTGACTAGTATCAAGAACACGCATCACCACAAAGTTATTACACAATCTCTGCGAACGATTGGCGATAGTAGCAACAGTGAAAGAAGATTTAGCAATTTTTATCAGACGTGGAATAAAAATTTGGTCAAATAAACGTCTGTACCATAATAATCTAACTGCTAAATTGGTTACAGATTTCTGCAGGAATGTGTGCTATAGTTGAATCGTGTTTGGACATCACATAACGGCAGTCCTTTGCATTTTGAATATCAAAACTTGCCATAAAATGTGACAATATTGTGACGAAGAATAATCTAGCAAGGTAGAACTTATTATTCAGAGTATACGGTGTCATATGAAGCGCAAATTATCAGTATGCTCTTCTATGATAATAGTAATTTTCGAAATATGATATCGTATGATGACTCCTACAAAATAGTAGATTTTATTTTACATAAATATTCAATACTCTATTATCCAATTACAAACTTTGAGTAGTTTTGCAATTGCTTCCTTGAAAAAAATCGCAAAGGTAACAGCGTTTTTGGCTTTTTTAGAAAAGGTGGATTTGAAGTTATCTATCAATATCAGCTTACGTTACGGCCGTTTAGTTAGGAAAGTTAAGGTGGTTAAATATAATAACCAAGAAACTATGTTACTACTAGGGCAGGGTTTATACTTGTTGAATGAACGAGTAACAACATTTATGTACAACATTAGCTTGAGGCACTTCAAGATCGCCTGTTATCGACGTGATGTGCGACGAAAACTTTTATTAAATATCAACGAAGGAAATATTTTACAGCGAAGTCTGAAAGTAGGCCCACATTTTATATAATCCATGTGGCTAAAACGGCTGATAATCACTGACACTTTTGTGATCTATTCAACAATATTGATAGAATTTCAGTTGAACAAAATTGTTCCCTTCAACGTCAAACTTCAAAGTGAACCCCAAAAGCTCGCCTTTTCATTTTTTTTTACATTTATGCAATTTGTCTGATATGTGACAGGTAGCTATTACCAATAGTGCCGTTGAGGCTTAATGTCACAGAAACTGATATTTCTGTTTCTGCGCGACAACAAATTATATATTTCAGACTAAAAACTCTCACATGTTGTCATCATGGTATTATCTTTGTACAAATGTATATAAGATCCTATACTCTATAAAGGTTATCATGCATTGTGCAAAACAACATAAATATGAAAATTGCAAGGTTATTACGCTTGTTGTGTAAATTACAAGATGCTCCGCAGAAGATTATCGTCTAACCGCAATACGATGATAAGATTATATAACGCGATAGAAACATCAGTTTTGGTCGAAAACACACTAATTCACTTACAGTAAACACATTTACCACTGAGACCGTGTCTTATTCAATAAAATTTTTCCACTAGACAACATTCTACATTTGATAGCATCCATTGATACAGGCTTTAGAGATAAAATGTCACGGATTGAGAAGAGCACCGATTCAAATATAACATACAACGGAGCTCCGAAAACTAATTATTCCAATAGTTTAATGGAATAGCTACCTGCAAAGAAGTTGATCTTTAACGCTGTAGCGTAATAAATTTATTTTTGGAACGATACAACTATCGGAAATTTGAATTTCGTAACTGCATATCAACGTATAATTTATAGGAATATGAGTTAGTAAAATCGAAAAACTAATCATTAATAATCATCAGTTCAGCAATTTAATTCCATTTCTATAAAATTTGCCCGAGGCAGCAATTTTTCGTTTGAGTCATGGCATTGTTCCTATACAGTACAATCATGTGGGTGTTTTAAGAGAATATTTTAAAGTGATTAATGAAAAATACAAGAATTTTATTCGATGGTATTTACACCACACTTGATGATTTTTTTGTTTGTGAGTTGTTTGTAGACTCTCGGTATAATCTTGGCTGCTGAAAATCTGAAAGGTTTAACAAGATTGATTTCCGATAACCGACCACATTTACGTTAAGATATAGAAGTTTCAAAAATTGTTCGGCTTAATTTTCCATTTTGTTAAATCATGAAACCAGAACGAATTAGTAAAAGAATTCAGTGAATTCGTTCAACAAGGCGATTTGTTTCATTTCTCTACTTTGAAGTTCATTTATAGAGTGATCCTAAAGAGCATCCTTATCACTATTCATTTATATCTTTATTATTACCTCATCATTTCGCGTAAAGACTCCAGGAAGTTCGCATTGTAATGTAATTATGTTAATAATAATTATGTCACGGTAATTATATTCCTATTCACGTGAGATTTGTTACATCCTTTCATTGGTTTTACTAACATTTTGTTATAAAATATGACAGCAGTCGTTTTGCTATTTTCTACAGCTCCTGGTCGAAGAATACCCAGAGTGTGCAATAAAGTTTGACTAAATCATGACTTCAAATGTGGAAAATTGGTTTCTTTTAGGTAACCGAAATTGCAGGTTGTCTGTATAAGATGTTTTTGATTTTGGCAAATGGTATATCTGTTTATCTGGTATATCTGTTTGGTAAATGGTATATCTGTTTATCAAAATTGAATTCAATATAAATCACAAAAGGGAATATAATTATATTCTCAGCATGCGTCAACGCATCACATTCACACTTATGTTCATATTTGCATTGCGTGGCATGGCTATAATGCAATGTACGCAAAATCGAGTAGGAACCTCGGCATTGTCATTAATCATTTAGGCAAAGGGTTTTTCATAGCGCAAAGCTATTCACGAATCAAACTGCGTAAAAATTTCCGGCTGCCTTCATGATATCACATTTCTGAATTGTGGTTATTGTATTAAATAATAAGGCATGATTTGGACTGTACTGTTGAAAAAACAACAAAGTTGTAATCATTCAGTAGTCATTAGTGTATGCTGTCACATTCGAATCAGTCAGCCAGTGACACATTCCAAAAGTATTTACATCCAAAGAAATTAACATGGGCGGTAGATACTGCTATTCAAGTGTTAATCAAATTGTTGTCATCAATTGTAAATAAATTTTGAACATCTTTGATACTTTGAAATTTTTTTTTCCATTACTTATGGTGTTACCGTATTCAGACAAATGTGTACCAAAAGCACATTTTATGTGCGCACAATACCAGTGAAGCTCACAATCGTCCCTGTTTAAACCTGATTTGCTGGAGCGAAGCGATTTTATCTCCAATATTTGACCCGTGTGGTAATCCTTATTTACAACATAGCGCGATGCGCCTTTAGTATAATGGGTAGTAGGTTTTATCGTATAATAAATGGATTTTATTTTACTTTACAAGCATTCAAATAATACGTACCTCCAATGAAAGCGGTGGGGGAAGTTCCAGTTTCTTTTGCTCTTTAATAAGAATTTCATCCCGCTTTTCAACAATTGTTATAACTTTGTCCAAAGTGTTTCGAAATGACTTCAGTTCGGACAGTGATGGAATACTAGGCTTTCCTGATCCAATATCACCAGTTTCTGTAATAAGTTTTCTGGTCTTTTCTTCATAAGAACGCCTCTTTTCGGACGTAGATTCACATTCGTCCGAACTTGATCTTATTTTCTGGAATTGAGGGTTGTACTTCCAACTAGATACGTGGAATGAAACCATAACCATGGCGGACAAAATGAATAAAAGAATTATAACGACGCGAGTGTGTTGAACGATTTTAAAGTTTGGTTTTCTGTATACCAACGTCATCGTTAGCGTTTCTGGAATGAATAGAATAAATAAACTAACATCTAAAAACAAACAAAATTGAGACGTAAAAGTATAAAAATTTGAACAATATGAGTATGATTTTCAGCTCCATCTCCTTGTACACTAACATTTTTTTTTCTGTACCTACACGGAAGTAATAGTGGGGAAAATTGCGTTCAGCTATATTTTAATTCTATTCGACCATTCTCAGTTAACATGACTGCTCTGAAGTATTTCCTTCTCTTGAGGTGAATTTATTTTCTATAGAAGTTAAAAGGCTAATCATTAGTTCATTCACCTATTAGCTGCGTAAATAGTTTCGCCAATATTTTCGAATAGATGCAACGACAGCCTTAATATTCACCAGCGAGTATTCACAATCTTTTACCAATCAGTAACTGTCAAATGCTCCCATGCTGTTTATGAATTTTTTATTACCGTGTTACAACTTTACCGTTTGTGTAATCTCACAATCGGCATTCACTTTATTCTCTGTGGTACTATTCTGGTTGACTAGAAACAGAAATTCAATGAGGTAACCAAAGAATGACCCTGAAACCTTACTTTTAAACATTGTGATAAGCAGTGTGGGAAATTATGTTTTTATTCACCCATCCTATTATTCAAACCTCAACTCCATTCCTTTCCAAAGAACAATGAATAGCAAGAATCTCACAGTCACATGAGCTGTCTAGAAGTCAAATCGCAACGTACAATGGTATCACCATCAAATAAATGTACAATCACCTTTACGCCTTCAGTGCCCCTAAGGCTATACTAAGTCATGACGACGTAAGCATCGTAAATATGGAACATATTTGTTTTCCTTTTAAGGAATGACCGTAGATTTCTCATGTATGACCCGTGCAAAACTGCTTGCTTTATTCGTTGGTTTTGCGTATAGTCAATATAACAAATCAATGTCGCTTAGAATTTTAAGTTCCTTGTTTTTGTTTTTAATCAAACTATGACGCATCCAACAATTAATCACGCGTAAAGGAGGGCGTAAATATATCGATAACAACAAAGGTGATAGCAGATAGATTTTCATCACCACGGGCATTTTCGAAAGAAAATCATTTCTTCGTTCCGTTCGACACGGACAAAGTAATAATTAAGTTTACTAAAACGATAGGCATTTTGATATTTAATTCCTTTTCAATGAAGTCCAAATAGGTGAGCATTTATTATATTCGGAATAAATCTTATTAGCTGACCTATCATAAATTTCAAGTTGGTGGTATAAGCATTTCCAACCTAAATTGATTTGGCGTTTATTTACTTAATTTAACAAACCTTTGGAAATTATAAAAGATAAAAAAAAAAATAGTCAAATCGTCAGACAGAAAGCAGTATTTTACGTGAGACATATTTTCAGTTTCGGCTTTGGTTATGTCCACATCTGAATCGTTTAATTTAAATAGTACTTTTCTGCATGCTACTTCCCTTTTAAATGTGAACGTTTAGAGAAAAAGTGTTATATGCCTAATTTTATATTCAACAATGTCATTATTTTCACTATTCAACGCGCATGTTCACTTAAATATGGTATTCATTTCGATGAGATATAGATATATGTTGAAGGCTCTATTTGTGCATTAATTCAACAATACCATTTGCCCTTAATAGCTACTATACTGTTTGCGATATTTTCTAAAACTAAGCAAAACAATATCGATGTAACACCATTCATTAATGGATTACATATTGACAACTTTTAAATCAAAATTAACTTTTCAAAGATTGCCAATTACCGCGCGTGTTATGACATCTGAAACATATGTTACTATTACCACACGTCGTGTCATACGTCATAACGGATTACGTGTGTCAATCGCATCTATATGGTATAGTTAGCAAAACTTAAGTTTGTAATGTCTTCAAAATGAGATCTTTTACTTGAATCAGCGTCGTAGTACAGTTTTCAATTTGATTGATTAAATTTCAGAGTCAGGACATGCATAAAATGATATTCGTCTTAGCTAATAATATCATGCCTACGACATGACAGCGTATAATCACGTCCTTTTATATCACGACACGACAGTCCAAGAACTGCCAGATATGGATAACAAATATATAACCATAAAGTATAGACAATTTCTTGGTAACTGTATACTTCAAGTCTCGCCGAAATAGAATTTTCATAAAAGCATGATCTGAGTTCAGACTATAAAAAGCCAACTATCGAGTTTACATCAGGTATATATTTACGTCATCCAAAGATTACATGCGAAGACATGAATTCTGGTGGGATTTAAAAAAGAAGAACGTGAGCATTAAAAATTTAAAATGGATGATTTCGTTTTGTATCGTCAAGTCTGTTATCACAGATACATTCTTGGCGGTAAAGACTTTTGGTACTCCAGAAGTTTGTGAACCAAGATGGCGGACACCGGAACGTAGTATGTGTACCAGGTTAGGGTTAGGCCATAATTTCAGGTACAAATACTACGGAAGTCACTTGGCTATAGTCCCCGAACTCGTAATAGAACTAAAATAAGGAAAGTTGGAATAAAATCATGGCCTAACCCTAACCCGATACAGTGGTAGGCTACATATATATACTACGTTCCGGTGTTCGCCATCTTGGTTCACATACTTCGAAGTACCTGACTTTTACTAGAATTATTCATCAACTAAACCTATATTAAAAAATCTCTATGTTCAGGATAGGCCCCTGCGTATAACTAACTGATAATATTCGACGGCACAAAAAACTAAGCATTGCATTGCTTGTTTTCGATGCTACTTTGCTCTGATCTAATAAAGAAACTCTCTCTTATTGAACTTCCGTGTTTGACTGTTGCTAGTGGAACGTTTTAGTGACCAATCTCGTCCAATTGATGCCTAAAATGCAATAAATGTTTCCCGATTTCAAAGTAGTAAATGCTGATAAGAATTACACATAACGTCTGCAAAACATCTGTGCTGGCAAACGCGCTGTAGTTGTCCAAAGATAACTTGTTATTACCTCCACATAGCACACTACAAATTGTAGCACACTACAAACTGACCCGTCCGACCTGTTAACATATATACTATATAGTGTATAGTATACTATATAGTATATACTACTAATACAAAGTAAATCTAAATGGTAATTTGCGATACTTTGAGTTCCCGCTACGTATAGGCACATGCGACGCTCGGACCAGATATAGCACAAAATAAAAAATAACATTCAACCCATTATGCCATATGCACAGCTAAACAGACGGTATGGTCTATTTTGTTGGTTTTCACGCATCAAGTCCTACAGAATCCAGACATAATTTATTCTTACTTAGACGGAACCGCCATCGATTGCGAGTGCTATATTTACCAGTAACCGATTCTGTATGCATAAAAATTATGTCCGCGATCTATTCAATGTAAATACGGCGGTATCGCATTCCAACCACAACCTGATCTTAGAAAGCATTACTTTATAAAATGTATAAAAATACTCCCTCGGGAGGTTTTAATAGCGTTGGCTGACAATAATGTCATACGCGCCAAAGTAATTTGATTCGCTTATCTCTCGCTCGGGCATGAACTGAAATCTCTTTTCCTTATCTACAGTCAAGGCTAACTTACACCAAACTGAATGTACACTCAAACCGAATGTTCAACAAATAAGACATTGGCCATCGCGGTGCACTGGTGGTACCATGCCCTCGAAGTTGTATTTGTTGGTTTGTAATGTATCATCCAATTGGATATTGAAATAGATTAGAATTTTTGAATTCATATGATTTAAGTTGAAGATAAAGAGCCCATTAATAAATATATCGTGGTTCCATTACATTTGAACCCACGTACATTTGAACCCATGACAATTGCACCTGTATGCTATTGCACCTATGAAATTCTTTTTGTTTCACGGATAGTTAAACCCATACTAACCCTAACCCATGGGTTTTAGCACCCGCATATAGATTGAACCCGTGGATATAAGCATGGGTTCAAATGTACATGGGTTCAAATGTACGGTCACCATATATCGTCAATAACGGCTTATACTTCGAACTGTCACGAAGATTTTCGCTAACAATGTTCTTTCAAATATTGTTAACACCACCAGGGATCTAGATGTTCTACTAGATTCATAAACCATAATATCCTATTATTGTAGAACGGAATATGGATACCGGTAAAAATAGGGATGACTTAATATCTTATTTGACAAAGTTGACAATAAATTGGTATCTGGGAAGACATATTCTCTCAAACTAACCTGGGAGTCCTGCAAAAGCTAAGTTAAAAGTACTTTTAAAAAACCTTGCCAAGTATCTGATGCATAAGCACGAGCAGGTGTTTCAAAACGTGCACAAACAAAAATGAAACAATGATAAGAAAGTCCCCTTTCTTTTGTCAATCACATTGCTAGCAACTATAGTGAGATATCACAATTTCTTTCTATGTTTTTTTACAACTTTCATATTCTTGAGAAAAGCTAAGTTATATCTTGAATCAAATTGAATCGCCGCTGCCTCTTCAACTTATATTTGTCTACAGGCCAATAGTGTAACTCGCCATGACTCTCCACAGTCGTGACGTTTGAACGGGGTTACAAACTGCGCAACCGAAATATGATTATTGAAGGAGGTTGACATTTGAGATACCCAATTGGTTTTCCTGTGCCTCAAAATACCATTATCATGTCCGGACAAATATGAATTCCTCGCGAAGAAAATAATTCAAGTATATTTCATGTTTGTTTAAATATGATTTGACATACGACGCTGGTTTTGCATAACTTCACGTGGAGTGATAGAACATGTTTTGTAGTTATTGCTTGTCACGTTTTGAATTGAATTCTTTGTTATTGACTTTATCAATTAAACACGTCTTGTGTCATTTCAAGACTCGTTTAATTAACGTTTGATTAATTAGAGACAAAGTTTTCAAAAAATTTACATTTTACGACTACAGTATTTCTACAGGTACTTTCTTTGCTATAAATATTCTAATTTAACTTTATGGTAATCTCAAATAATAATAATATATTTTCTGCGAGTCGAAGAAATTTTGAGGTTACTAGAAATGCTGATTCACCAGTATAGGTCTGGTAATGTTTT